CTACAAGCAATATAAAGACATGCAGCCGCAACTTGAGAAGTTCTACGTCCCTTGGTAAAATTCTTGTCAACAGCTATCTTCAGAGAATGGGAAATTGAGATTAAACTAATATGTTTATATTGTACTCACCACAAATCAAGCTTGAAGTTACACTTTGTGTACCTGATAAAAAGCATGAGCTTTGTTGATTATAGAGTCTCCACCACCAACACGCAGGCTATCAACAATATGCCTAATCTCATCTCTTCCTGGAGAAATAGGAGCGTAAACCAGATTGAGAATTAATCTTAAAACACTTGTGCACTGGAACAAAACGTAAACTGCACTTTTGGTAACATAAAGTTGATAAGAGACATTTACTTTTAATGCTTACATGGAGAAATAGGAAGGGGGAAGAATCAGATAAAGGATGTCTAAAAAAGATTATACATACAAGTAAAATGAAAATTACAGCTGTTTATAATATAAAATTGATATGCTTTTACTTTAGATGCATTAAGCATGATAAAATTTTGCTACTAGAACCAAAGTTAAATGCTGACACCAGCATACACATCCACATGGAGAGAATGGTAAAACTTGCAAACCCATTGATCGAATAACAGTTAATTTAGCACCAGTATTCTCATAAAAGTTCAAAATGGTCTATTTCTTCATTAGCCTTTGGAATAAAATTTTTATACATTTAAGAGACAAAATTCTACAGTACACTTGAATTTAGAAGTCAGTAGCCGAAACTCAAAAGGTACAATAGGATTTGTAATTTCAGACATGCTATATTTCCATAATTCATTACAGCAAACAATAAGACTAGGTGAGATATGACAAGGGCCCAAGAACAGGCCACCAGTCATGGTTGTTCATTGTTCTTATTAGCTGCGAAAAAATTACAATGATCCAGAAACTTATACAGGAAAGTAAAGATTTCTAGACTTCATAGGCAACACTTGTTTTATGTATGCATCTGCAAACTAAAAATGGATGCAGAACCTAGTCATTAAGAACATCTCTATAGATGTGCACTAGTATGCAGAACATCTCTACTCATCTATGTTGTATCGAGTGGCATTTAAGGTTCATCTCTACAAGTATGGTCATGGGGCACTCGAGTGCTTTCCTAGGCGCCTGTGCAAGGAGAGGTGAGGCTCAAGCGCCTCTAAATTCTGCGTGCAAGCAATCTTGATTGGGAGCCGCTTAAGCATGCGCCTGGCCCAGAAACTAGGTGGTCCAAGCAGTAGTCTGGCCCAAATCGACTTTGATTGAGCTTGAGTTAAACCTGAATTAGTTGATTTGATTCAACCAAGCAAGCAAGCTAACTTAACTTATTCACTCCCTCCCTCCCTCCCTAAAATCAGGCATACAATCCGATGCAAATGTAGTACCAAAAGTTGCAAAACTATCATAAGTTATGTTGTTGCAGAAGCATTATTTTGGTAGTTACCTAAGCTGAGAAAGATTAAACCTTGAGCAAAGACAAAGATAGTAGTCCTATATTCAACACCCATAAACAGATTAGGTCCTATATGCCAGCATACCCTTCATTAAAGTTCTTTCATGTGATGCAGAATATCCACTTTGAACACTATGCATGATGCTACCAGCGAATCGGCTCTGGAAAATGAAAAACAGAGCAGAATAGATAAGTTGACATATTAAAATAAAGAAAAGACCATAGGCTTTAAATGAATCTCGGAAATCCATGGGTTGACGCATGACAAACCTGACCACTGCTATCCTTCGCAAAGGTGGGCCCAGTAAAGTATATATCTTCATCAATAATCCTTCCACATAAGGCACAGCATCTAAAATATCATCATGGAAAAGCAATCATCCAAGAATAATATAACAATCTAAGTGTTTTAGCATTTCAGTGCCAATATAGATCTAATCAACAAACGTAACTAAAAACAATCAAGGAAAGAATAGAATGGAACAAAGAACCACTTACATGTATCCTTTATCAGGATCTCTAACGGTCGGGCATTCTTCAGCACAATGAGTACACCAACCCATTGAGGGAACCAACAACTTAAGACAACCTAAAAATGATTCCAAATTAGCTATTTCCATGAAATATTTCCATTTGAAAACTGAATAGATTGCCAATGTCTACCTCAATGTTCTGGTACCTAGTGAACCCAAGGAAGGATTAAAGACTATAATGTTCAAACCAGAAACGAAAAACAGTTTACGGGTTGGCCTGAGACTCTACAGCTATGGAATGAAACATTGTGGTGGTGGCAGTGTTGTCAAAAGTGCTAGGCCTTAAAAGATGCCAAAGTTCAAAAAATGCCCAAAGGGCGCTCCCCCAAATGAGTGTCTCATCAATATAAAACTTATTTAAAAAATAATTAAGTAAAGTTACAATCATTAAGATGAAGATTGGATAATATATAAGTTCCATATCATTTTATATTCAAAATATCACAACTGAAACATCGAATTACATCAACTATCTAAAAAGCATTAAAGTGCTAAATCGTCCAAATCTAATAACAAAAATAAGAAAAAAAGAAAGCTTACCATCAAAAGTCCAAAGTCCAAGAACTTTGACAAGAATTCTAGAAGTGAGAATTCAAAATTCTATCAGCGACAAATTGGGTAATTGAGATAATTCATAAACTATTAATAACAAGAATTCATTACTGTTATTAACAACTATTAAATTCAGGCGGAGGCGAGGGAGGAGGCTGAGAACTGGAGGAGGGTTCCCAGAGAGGGGGAGGGAGGGCGGTGAAGGCAAGAGAGACAGGGAGGGGTTGCCCGTCCTGTGACGGCAGGGGAGGGAGAGAGGTAGAATAGGAGGTCGGCGAGGGGCTGAAAATGGCGGAAGAAAAGTGGAGGACGAGGAGGCAGGGACGCGGCTACCGGAAGAGAGACAGCCGGGAGAAAGAAGGAGAGCCAGGGGTCGGGGAGGTGGCTGCCGGAAGCCGGGGGAAAGCAGGAGAGCGACAGCGAGAGGGAACTGGGGAAGGGAGAGAGAGAGGGGAGAGGGAAAACTACGAGAGCGAGGAGGGAGAGAGAGGTCACCGTCCGCGAGAGGAGAGGTACCGCCGGTCGCCCGTCGTCTACAGGGAGGAGGAGAGCCGGTAGCGGTCGTCGGTCGCCGCGAAGGGCAGCAAGGGATGAGGAGGGGGTTTGGGTTTTTACTGACTTCGATCAAATCAGACCGAGCGGCTGGAATCAGGATCTAACCAAACCAATTGATTCGAGCCAAGATCTTATCCAAACCTTAGCAATTTGATCAGATGCGCTGGGCCACCCGGCGCTCGCGTGGGCGGCGTCCAGGCCCACGCGCTTCGCGTGGGTTATCTTCCTAGGCGAGCGCTGGCAGGATGCAATACGAGGTGGCAAGAAGATGGCAGCAAGCACCTGCACGCAGAACGCGGATAACGGGGATGGCAAGAAGATACCAAAGAGCTTCCAGAAAGGAAGCAAAAAGCATCCAGCTTCAGGTTTACCCTAACTGACTGGTGCCAAAACAAAAACAAATCAGACAAAAAAAAAAGAAGAAAGAAAAAAGAATCCTTTCAAGAACATTCGCATTAAGATGAAAACCTTCAAGAAATCAAGAAAATATAACCAAAAGGAAAAACAAAATAGGGCAAAGAGAAGAGAGAGAGAGAGAGAGAGAGGATGAAAACTAAAGCCTTTAGGCAATCGCAAGATCGCGCTAGGCACAACAAGAAGCAAAAACCGTTCAAGAACCCTCAAACCAATATGCAAATGAAAACTAAAGCCGGTAGGCAATCGCCGAGATCGCAGTAGGCACATCACCATGCAAAAACCTTTCAAGAACCCTCAAACCAATACGCATACTATTTACCTGACAGAATTGGACCATCATACATCAACAAAACCATGTAACTGAACCACAAGATCATTCGGAAGGACCTTCCGAATCAATCAAATGAAAACCCTCAGACCTCTAGAAATCAAGAAAACAGAACAAAGAAAAGAATAAGAAAACTAGGGCGAAGGGGAGGGGGAAAGGACGGAGAAAAGTAAGAGCACCTGAAGGAAGGCAGAAGACGAACCAACACCGCGGCGGCCGCGCACGAGGCCACGAACGAACGAGTGGGAAGGGCACCCGAGAGAGATTGGCGAGGCTGCTTATATAGGTTACGGTTCGAAGTGCGTCAGTTTCAACCCGACCCAATAAGGCCCAGGGCTTCTTAAGGTCGCTTGGACTCTAATTGAGTTCGGTTCAATCCAGTCGAATTGAAACCCAATTTGCTCGGTTATTTAAGATTGGGTTCGAAGCTGTTTCCTGGATGGATGCAGTCTGAATATAACGATCTGATACAATGTACAATGTATCCTTCCAATGCCCCCATCGCTACACGTGCGTCTACAAACTCTGGACCAGACGATCTTAATCAGACGGTTATAGTACGTACCGTGACGGTGATATGACCCGAGAATCCACAACCACTCCCGAATCTGGTGCGCCACTGTATATGTAGTCTACCTCTCACCTTCCCACTCTCCTCCTCTTTATAATTATTTTCATATATTTTTTACTTCATTATTATTATTATTATTAACACAATACATATTTTTAAACAAGAATTTAAAGTAATTTGCCCTTTTTTCTTCTGCAAGACATCATTTTAAAGGCAAATCTACAATATAAAAATATAAATTTGACGATGAACATCAATAAGAATTCAATGTTCAACGTATCCAATCAGCAAATAGCACATGCGTGACATATTTATCATTCTCCGGGCCAACTATTAAATTCAAGAAAATAAACAATTATCATCTGAAGTGGCAAAAATAATTGGCAACATGCTGTCGATATGCGATATTAAAAACAAAAATTCTCACATTGCAATATTGCAGAATATCAAAGACTAGAAATTGAAGAAGAATTACCGAATGTAAAATATTATGAGAAATTGCAAAGGAGAATCGAGATGTTATACAAATTTATCATTTTGCATGATCATACACACAAGCAACTCTATCTAAATTGAAAAATGAGTTAAATGTACTTCTTTCAAAAGAACAACGTCAGTGCAGCAATTTTTATCATTACCTCTGAAAGGATAAAGGAAAGGGCCAAATAACATCTCCAATTTACAGTCTTAACAAAATAAGGCAGATCACACCAGCATCCAGTGAGAAACTTATAGTACAGACCAACAGAAAAAGAAGAGAAAAAGGAAGGGGAAGAAAACACACTAACTTGGTAATTCTAAAAATAACTTCGTTTAGAGACTAAGAAGCCAGATATTAGAGCAGATAAGCAAAGTGCTGCAAATGTCAACAAAGCCATGCTGATTGCAGCTACTGATGCATCTGTGAAGGTATTCACTACTTCCTGTCGCATGCGGTCTGTGATTGGGATTGCTGCAGATGATGCAGAGATCAGCAGGTACGCAATCACCTACAGTAACCAAGTTGTTAGTTTCATTGTATCACCAAGAAAAGCATCTTGATCTGGATTTGACAGGTGAATCTACATACACACGGCAACAATTAATCATCCCTCTTTTAGATCATTGGTTTATTAGAGGTGCGTCGCAAACCAAAAGAAAGGAACTCCAGGATATCAAGGTGCAGTGTTGAATAATTGGACACATATACATGCTCATGTGAAATTAGCTTCCCTGAGATGTTGACTTAGAAGCTGTTGATTGGGTTTCTGACTTCTGTTGTGGAACTTAAATCTCTTTAAATTCATATGAACTTTCAAGGTCATGGCCCTCTGACCTCTTAAACAAGAATTTGCAATTCAGTAAATTGTCCTCGTTTATAGTACCAGAATCAGCAGAACCACTGGAATGGCATCAAAAGGAAAAACAGTATGTTACAAAAGTTATACTAGATTTAGCATTGAAAACACTTAATGGTCTACTCTAGCATGTGTTTGCTTGCGGGAAGGTATTGGATATTTAAAGTTAATACTTTTTACGGCTCAGATGCATGAAAGTAAAGTCTAATGAACTCCAACTCTCACGAAGTGATACTACACTGCCTACTTTTTAATGACTCGATAAAGAAGTATTATCATCACTATATCTGTGGGTGCAGTTAAAAATGCTCATTACTGTGATTTTGGGCAGAATACACTTAGGAAAAGAATATAGGGATGAGACAGAATCAAACCTTTTGGTACCCCATGACCTAATGGATTGAAGGTGAGGTTGATATCTAAAGTACTGGGAAGGAGAAACTGCTGGAGCAAAAACAGAGAAGCCTTACAGTCATATGGAAATATTTTATATTCTTGTTACTTACTCAATTTTCTCTTTAGTATGTATAGCTTTAACCTTAACTATAGTAGGAGTGAAACTCCGTTTAGCAATGTACTTCATATTTCACATAGGTTCTATTTCTGGTAACCCAGATTGTACCCATACAAACAGTGCATTCCAACATCAAAAGCAGTCTTTCCTGTAAACACATGTACAATCACTAGCACTCCTATCTTAAGATTGCTATAAAATATATGGAACTGGTAAGCAAATAGAAATTCAATGCAAGGTACCTAAACAGGAATGTTATAAAGGGTTCACCAAATTGTCTGTTCCATGATCACTTTTGATCTCAATCATTAGCTTATTTCGGTCAAAACAAATTTATAATTTTTTTTGTGGGTATTATGTATATATATGCTTTTGAAGTTTGGAAACAGCAGCCAGCCCTCTAACTCTTAATACAACATATACATCCCTCCAAATAATATAAATCTTACTTCTATCCCTTCAAATATGTAACAGTCCTCCAAAAACTCTACTCCTTTTCGCATCCATCCAATGAACTTAGAGAAGTTTGAATGAGTTTGAGAAAGCATTAATTTTATATACCTAAAGCGCTCCCTATTTCTTTAACCGATTATTTGACCTTCTGTTTTCTAGGCTCGAAATCATCAATTTAGTCAGGGTAATATATGTAATATTTTTTGAGTTTCATTGTTCAAGTGTCATTATGCCGACCCTATTAACTACAATAGCATATGCATAAGCTTTTTGTGTTTTTTCAATATATATCTACTTAATCTCTTCAGAGACATCCGATAAGATTGGATATAGAGAAGATTAGCATGACCGCAAGGATGACATGCAAAAATCGAGAAATGATCCAAATTTTTTTAAACAATTATATATATTTTAAAGGGTTAAATAGAAAAATCAAAGCACTTCTGCCTCTATTTATTTTATTTTAACAAGGCTAGTGTTTGAGATCAAAAGTGACAGTATATTTTCTTCATACATTCCTGGTAAGCTGCATAAATTTGCTTACTACATTTAACTATTAAGGAATTCTCTCACAAATTTCAAGCAATCTTCCTTCAATAGAATCCACAGGCAACAAATTTTGCCCCAGTAATCAATTCACAAACTATTACCGGATCTCGTGTGTTCAAATTTCATATACCTAAAGGCAAAAAATGTGGAATTCCAACCAACCTGATCTCCGGCGAAGTCCACAATCCCGGAGTACTGCTTCGGCGCCAAATCCTTGCCGGTGCCTAACCGGTGCGCCTGCCTCAGCACCTGCGCCGTCGAGTACACGAGCGCGACTACTGCGACCGCTAACAAGTACCTATAAGCCAAAATCCACCACCGATTCAATCCCCAACCCTAGTAAAGCAAAATCCATTCGTCGAACCCACCGGTACTCCTGGTAGTGGTCGAAGCTCATCCATCCCCCGCGCCGGTTGGAGGCCAGGACGGCGACGGCGATCAGCGAGAAGATCCACGCCAGCGCGCGGAGAATCAGCCCGCTCTTCTCCAGCAGGTGCTCCCTCCTCCACCTCCGCACCACCGATCGCACCACCGCGCTGCCCTCATCGGCGGCAACAGCGGCGGGGAGGGGGCTCGGGGTGGATTTCTCGATGCCAGGCGGCGGCCCGGGGGCCATCACCGGCACGATCGACCTCGGTTCGGCGCTCTCGTCCTCGTCGTCGGCGGCCATGTGGAAGAAGCAGCACACTAGTGGAGTGTGGGGGGGAATAAATAAATGCTTGGTGCTCATGGACATAACGAAATATAATTTTCCCACCCCAATGATACACACACGCCGTACTTTTCCAGCGAGCAAACCTGTTTTTGTGGGTCCCATCAAAATTCGCCGAATGCAGATTGAGGTATATTTGGGGAACAAAAGAAAGGAGTAATTTTATTTCGCCTTTTTATTATCTTTTGCAAGGTGGATAAATTATGAGGAAGAAGCACAAAGCGAGTGGAATCAGATGAGAAAAGGAATGCCTTTGGCCGGATGTGGTTTTGCATCTCAGCAGAACATGTTCTGAGGTCCCATCAAAGAAAGTTTGTTGATGCGTGTTCTTTGTCCCTCAAGATGCATGAGGAGCAGGCAATTGTAATCCTTCTTTGACCTAAACAAAGTGTTAGTCTGATCTGCTTAACTGCTGCTGCTTCACTACAGTCTGAGATCAAGACTGGAGTTTACTGAAGACGATGAACTGAATGGATGAGCCTCTCTGTCCTAAGGGAAGAAGAGCTTGTTGTAGAAGAGCTCATTCCAGGTGTCCTGGAGGCCAGGCAAGCACCAATGCACGCAATCGGCGTAGCTCCTCGGGTTTCTTCTCTGCTGGTTCGTCAGCGGGTACCTTTGCTGCTTGTAGATGCTGGTGTGCGCGTCCCTGCGATACTCCGAGAGCTGTGTGATGTTGAGGACGGTGATGGGAAGCTTCGTCTTGCCCAGGACCTCGGAGACCACCTGCATCACGCTCTTCTTCGAAGCAGAGCCCCAGTAGGTTGGGTCAAATATCGGCATCCTTTGCCCGTAGCAGTTCCCCTGGCGATCCCCTCCCCAGTCAATGCTTCTGCCATCTTCTCAGGCTCGAGTCAGATGCTCTGTCTTGTACATGGACATGTGGAATGAGAAAGGTTTACCTGAAATGAGTAGGTGACATGCTTGTGAAGAAGACTCTGGTCTTGAGGGGATCCAAGTTCCTCTCCAGCCACCTCACCATCCTCTTCAACACCAGCCGGTACGCCTTCTCAAGCTCCATCTCCTTGATGAACTTTGCTCCATCTCGAGAAGCCCCGCGCCTACAAATCTCGATCAGTATCGTCTCGAATTGGAAGGCAAAAGATAGCGGATGTGATCGTGAGAGTTACAGAGTCTTCATGTTCGTTCCTGTCAGCCACCACGTATACGTGTTGAAGACCAAAACATCTGCTCCCTTCCAGTCCTCAGCATGCTTCTCGATCGATCCTGGATACAGATGTATGACTCGTTCCTTCACCCGGTGATTCGTCGAGTTGTCGCAGTTCGATTCGACGAGAAATGGTGCCCAGTAGAACTCGACCGTGACGTTGTACTCCTAAATGTGCATGGTGATATCAGCAAACACTTTTGGTTGCATGTCCTTCACGACATGATTCTGTGCGATGAGTTACCGGAGCTGCGAAGATGGTAAGGGATGGAGAGCGTTTATGGCCCTTGCGGAAGCGGGCGATGTGTCGGTCCAGGAGACACACCATGGAGAAGAACTGGCCGCCGCTCAAGGAGTCTCCGACGAACAAGATGCGCTTGCCTCTCAGCCGTTCCAGCATGAACGTGGCGTTGAATCTGCAGTTTGAGCATGGCAACACAGTGTTGACAGTCTTCTCACAAGAACAGTACGTTTGACAGCCTCATATTACCTCTGCAGAGAGCATCCATGAGGTTGCCATCTCCAAAACTGGTAAGCCCTGTCGGGCCTCCCAAAAGCTTCGCACTTGAACTGAGGGTTGATGTAGCGGCACTCCTTCTCGGCGTAATGAGGCATCGACGCCTTGTCGTACACCCACTTGCCGCTGAACACATCACACCCTTCTTCGGTCCTCCCGACGGCGAACGGCACATACTCATCGTCCTCGCCATCCACATCCACGTCCAGTTCCTCTTCCTCCTCCTCTTCCTTCTCCTTCTCCGTCCCTCCTGCGGCGAGGGGCGCACCTGCACCCTTCGTGGTGCTCCCATTGGCCATCTGCAAGCTGATATCGTTCGCTATCTCAGTGGTGAATGGCATGCCCACGTCCTTCCACTTAGATTCCTTGCTCTGAACCGGCACGTACTCTTGCTGTATGATTAGCTTCAGCTGCTGGGGTTTCTCTAGAGACCGCTTCTCCGTGTAAAGAATGGCAACGAAGACGATGAGGGAGAGAGTCGTGAGGTGGATAGTGAAGGAACTCATCTTTACGAAGGAAAAGGTAGGCTGTGAGGTGGAGAGAACGGCTGTGGCTTCTTCGGCCTCGAAGAGACGCGAAGCTTTGGACCATCAGATATAAGACATGTTCTCGGTTTCTGCAGCTGCGTGCAGTACGAGTAAGCCAGCGGGATCAGAGCTTCGGTAGAGACCTCAGATGAACACTCCAAAGAACTGCATGCATCAGAGCTGTGTCATGAACGGGACACACCAACCAAACAAGAAGGTCACGAGGCAGGACAGCCTGTTGTTCCGCCATCCAAATCATGGTATAAATGAGTTCACTTTGTACAATATCCATCCCTCGAACAGGAGAATGCCATTAGGTTCATGCAACTTCCCATGAGGAAGAGTGTTATGATTGGATGTTTCCGATGGTACTTCGCAATCATGAGCGGTGATGCTGTTTTGGGGAAGCATCAAACTTTAATTGCACTGAACATGAAGAAATTTGAAGTGCAGGCTATCTACTACCTTATTCGCTCGTATCGAAGGTGTTCGATGAAATGGCTCTTAGCAAAATTTGGGAAAGAAAAGGGAGGATTCATCAGTTGTAACGAAGTTGGAGAGCAAAATTGTCGGTAGAATCCGACGTTGCAGATAAAATGGGACAACTTTGCAACGAGATTGACGTGAATTGGGTGCTTGTGGGAGAAACAGGTGTGGCTTCTTGTCTTGTTCATCCGACGCTGGTTGGCCTGTCACTGCTTCGGTCACCATCGATGATGTCATCCACGCTACGACTGCACAGCTACCCCTCATACATTGATATCCAGTAGGTTACTGTTAATTTAAGTGAATTATACATCAGATTCATCAAATTAATTAAATAATATATCAAATTTTTCATGAAATTAAACAGTGATATCAGATGTTGAGAGATTCAAATAAAAAATAATATCATAAAATTATTATTGAAATAGATCGCATGTGCATCCTACTAGCATCTAATTTTGGGTTATGTTTAAACAATGATGTTGAAAGCCTTCTAATGAGTAAGATTGTGACATGACATCATAATTTAATCACACAATTCATGGATCAGCTACTACAAACTCATCTATAACATTTTGGATAAGTGAATAGATCAATCATTCCTTGAAACATTTGAAATGAAAAAACTCTCTCATATTTCATGTTTAGATATCTGACCTACTGAATTGTGATACCAAATAATTGGGATTGGGATGTATAAATAAAGTGATCAGGTTCAGATAATCAAGTCTAGAAACAAACAAGATACATTTCGTGAGTACATTATCCAATATGGCTACTCACAATTAAGGATCCTATCTTAAAAGGGAGCAAATCTCAATGATCATTAATCATGATCCAAGTTTAACTAGTGTTACAATCTGAAAATTGCTGCAGCGTAAAGAGAGAATGACAGACTTTAAAATGGTTTCAAGCTCAAAAACTAAAATCAAGAGGATCAGGATGAGCTTCTGTGATGATCTTTGGCATAATTTAACTAAACATCAAATCTTCAAGAAATTCGACACTAAATGAGACGACAACAAAACTGTCTTGATTTATAGGGCTGCATGCTGCATTTCATGCAGTCTCGGTCAGAGGGTACTCGAAGACAACATCCTTTCCGCAAAGCTTTCGATAGACACCAGTGAATGACTCCAGCTTGTACTCCGTGTTGTTGCGTTCCTTTGGGTCCAGGAATATCTGATTCAAACAAATTCATATTAAATAAAACCATCGCTTGCCACAATGCATGCAAAAAAGGGAGATTGCTTGCAAGTGACCATAGAAGACAATGCCATCAAAATTAGATTCCACAAGGGGCAGAACCTTAATAAAAAAAACATTGCCTTCTAGTTATGCTGCAGATGTGTGCCATTAAATGAAATTACCCAAAAGAACCCATTGTTTGAGATAATAAAGTGATATGGACAAATCATTTAGAGGTTAGCAACGATCGAAAAGCATCTTGACAGCTGCAAATATAAAAATTGGTGGTTCATGAAAACCGATAATCAACAAAACAGAACCATTTGGAATCAAACCATTTGTTTAACTTAATCACATCACTGAATGCACATCTGGGTACACCTAGAGACTGATTTTTAATAAGAAACTATATTAAAATGTTGCTGGCATTTAAGTCAATAAATATACATAAACCCACAAAAGAGAAAACGCTAGACCCCTAAGGTCAAAAAATCAAGAACCAATAACCAGAAGGAACTGACCTTCACGATCTTGGAGCCATCCAAACGATATCTTATGCGCTTCCCAACAATCTCAGCTGGGTAGACAACATCCTCCAAGATGCCATCGTGAACTGCAGTGAGAGTGCGGCTGCGTGGGCGCACAACAGCAGAACCTTTCTTTGGAGGTCTGAGTATCCTCCTTGTTGCAATAAGAACCACATCCTATTGGAAAAAACAATTAACATAGCAACACAAAAAATCATGAATAAAGAAAATATAACTTAAACAGCATATAGCCATCTTCAATGTACAGAAATAATAGAAGAGTTCATTACAACTTCAAAGATAATAAATAAGTATGACCAGTAAAGATACAATCTATTTCATATAGCAAAAGAATCATAACTCTCAATGATTAAGAATGTAAAAATTTGAAAATTTCCACTTTGATTAAAAGATGTCTATACATATGATATGAGATAATAAAATATATTATTTCATCTTCCAGCAAACAAATAGTACATCAGTATTTCTATCTTGGTATTTGCCTCAAAGATCCCACTTCCTTAACATGTAGCACAAAAGAACATTGGATTTCAATCAGCAATGCTGACAAGAAAATCAATCACATAGTTGAATTTCAAGATTAGCTCAAAAAAATAAAGTAACAAGAATTTAGTAGTGCAAATTAAAAATATATACCTCACATGAAAACATTTAGAAGCTCAAGATAGACTATGTAGGTTTTCTTAGAAATATGAAAGTAGGAACAATTCAATCACTGTCATTTAATTAAATAAAGTCAGAGCATCTTAATTCAGTACAAGCATTCAGCGATAATGCTGAAGATGAATGAGAACTATAAACATATTTTGAGTGTCCACAGAAAAAAACTTCATCTTACAAATTATAATATTAAGAGGCAAGAAGACAGGAAAATGAAGCCTAACCTTCCCACTGAACTTCTTCTCCAATTCTCTGACCAGCCTCACATGAATCTTCTTAAAGGCCTTCCGAAGCCTATAAGGAACATGAATAACAACAGCTTTCCTGTTGCCCGCTACATCCATTTGACTGCATTAGAGACCATAGCAGACAACAAACAATTCAGCTACCCTATCTCTTGGACAAAAAAAAATGTACTCCACAGGTCAAAATTGATACACACATGGCCGAATTGATATAGAGGTCCTTCAAGTCGCTCTTCAGCTCCTGATTACCATTCTCCAAATCAAAGAATGCCTACAAGAAGTAAAAAGCCTATCAGCAACTAAAACCAAAACTTCAAAAGAAAACAAGGCTAAAGCAAGTATCACTACCTGAGCAACAGTGTCCTCAAACTCTGTTGGCTCCAAACCCTTTTCCTTCTGGATTTTCTTCCTTGCAGTAAACATTTTGTTTTCTTATCGCTTAGCCTACATAACATTACACCAGAGGGTACTAAATAAAGTATTATGCATATGAAATGAAATAATATTATCATTTTTTAATAGAAGCATTTGACTTCCATTTTATGGCTTACCAAACTACAACACAAAAAAAAAAAAAAGCAAATCATCAACTTAACAATGTGCCAATTCGATAAATATTTTTCACGGCTCATAACACTTCAGAAATTAAAGAATATTATCATTTTTTAGATAAATATCTTGCATAAGTATTATGCAAATGAAATGAAATAATATTATCATTTTTTAATAGAAACATTCGACTGCCATTTTCTGGCTTACCAATCTACAACACACACACACTAAAATAAAAAAAAAAAGCAAATCCTCAACCTAACAATATGCCAATTAGAAAAATATTTTGCACGGCTCATAACACTTCAGAAATTAAATGCCTAACCCTAAAACACTTAACAAAGAAAAAGAGAACTATTCCTAATGCATGAGGTCAATGTCATTAAATCCTCTCTTCGCAGCCACGGCGAGCTCACTGAAGACTTAGTCCGAAAAGCCAGTGCCGAGCGAATAAACATATAGTAACTAGCAACATGATCTAATAAAAGATCGCTTCCGTCACGTTTTGCAGTCTGCGGACAGAGTCTTGTCCAACGACAGTAGTGATATGGCAAAAAATGGTAAACCCCACTCCCGGCGACGCCCCCCGCACGTGGGCAGGCACAGCACCCCAGGGGGAGCAATGAGGGCAAC